GTAGGACCAGAAAATTTAAGCGTATAGACCGCGCCAAATGCGCAACACCATGGATCCCGTCTGTGTGACGTAGGCGCACCTCTTGTTGCTGCTGCTGCTACTGTAGCTGCTCCAGCTGTTCCCAACCACTCGTTTCCTTCCAGACGGACAGACGCGCGCGGCGCGCGTATTCCTGGATCCCGCCACTCCGGGACTCGCTACATCGATACCAAACGTATACTTCCGATACAGTCGGTACTGTACGTATCCATTGCAATACTAATCCTACATAGGCCTACGTACCATAGTTGGCAACTTTCACAACTTCGATTCAAAGATGATAACTTTCATGTTTTAACGTGCAACGTGCATAACGCATTAAGCCTTAGCTGAAGAGCAAGCACTTGCGCACTTGTGCGGCCAGTTTCAATTGTTACAAAACACGTAGTATCAGCAAAGGGTTTTGAAATAGAAAATATTCGACTATGTAGCGTATGTCGCAAAGGTATGAATATAATGGTATGTACTCGAAGTACGATAATACTGTAGTTCATAATGTACCGTACTGTACGTATTACTGTACTACGTAAATAATACTAGTAGTTTATGACTGCTTTGTGTGACTGCATGCGTCAGATAATTTCACTTCAACCAATACAATCTTTCAGAAATTGTGACATCTTGGGCCGATATCTTCACAAAACAGTTTTATGAAACAAACTTCTTTCGTTTCCTTTCGACCAAGGATTTCTTCAACCAAAACCTCGGAGTTCCTCGGTTGACCGGCTTGCCCAATCATCATCCTTTATTTGCGCGACTGGCTGCGCACACTCTGGGCGACACTTCAAAAACATCATCGGTTTTTGTTTGACGTAACTGGCGTTCTCGTTTATCAGTTCCAACCGCACAAATAATAAACGTTGACCGTGGGTGGGCTTGTTGTAAAAGACCTGTTGTATCCGTACCTGAACCGTCCTGTTCCTGATCCATCCCATCAGTTGATAGTACAGAAGAACGGATTCAATCGCAACTGCGAATAGAGTACACCACCCTCCAATTGTGTTTTGGTCGGATCGTGGAATACTTTAGTCTTTGACAGATTAACAATTTGATCTATATCAGAGCGTTGATTCGACGGTGGGACACCTGTTACTATTCAGATACAAAATCACATTGTTGGAAGCTTGATCCAGATTCCATTGGAACGGAAAAACATTGATCTTTTGTTCACCTGGCAGTTTAATCTAGTTGGAGCGAATAGGATTGGATGAAATTGCCTATCAAAAGTCAGCTTAGATTTCACTCTGTACCAAACTCATTTCTTCCATGGCGGGCTTACCTGTTCTTGCAGGGCAACAAATGGACGAGGGCCTGGAAAATATGTGGCATGGATCAGCTGATTGTATTCGTGCGATAGATGCTGGTGAGTGATGCTGGCTGCATCCGAGTCCCTCGATTAAGGTCAATGCCTTTGTAGAAAACAGATGCGATACCTACTGATCTATTTTCGTATTCTATTTTTTCCTTCGTTTGATTCAACCTGTGATGACCGGATTTCCTGTGCATGGATTATGATCGATGGTTGATTTGGCGGGCTGTGGTACGGCAGCCACAGAGAATTGGAGAAATCAAAAGTTGCCACTTGCGAAGATTAAGAAGATAATGAAGAGCGAAGACCTCATACTTCAGGAATTGGAAAAGGATCGACTTGAGAAGAAGGCGGCAGAAGAAGGCCAACCAATGCCTTCATCAAATGAAAAAACTACGAAGTTCATGATTTCAGGCGAAGCACCTGTATTGATGAGTAAGGCCTGTGAACTCATGATTAAGGATCTATCCTTCCGGGCTTGGAGACACACAGAACGAAATAGACGGAGAACCTTGCAAAAACAAGACTTACATGCAGCAGTGGGGGAAAGCGAAGTTTACGACTTTCTGATAGACATAGTGCCTAGGGTAACAACAACGACACCAAAAATGCAACATGCCCACACAACACATCTTTCGTCGTCTTCATCTGTGCCAGGGACCGCAACGATGATTCCGCCAACTATGGGGATGCAAGTTGCTACAGGCATGCCTGTGGGGCTCCCGGCGCCTGCTATGCCACAGCAAACAACTCAAAGCACTGCAGTGATAGATCACGCAAATGCGGGAATGATGCAACTGATTGGCACGGCACACCCACTCCAAGCCCAACAGCACGCTGCTCAGCAACAGCAAACAACTCAATTTCATCATGACCCTTCACAACAGATTGTTGTTGGCACACAACAGCAACCGCAAACCCAAATTCCACAGCCGATGCACGCGCAAGTAGTTCAACATCATCATCACCATCAACAGATGCAACAGCAGTTTGCTGGCATGCCACAAATGCCGTCAGCAGCCAGTCAATCTCCTGCAGGAGCACCGATAACATTGCCGCAGACGGGAGGTGTAAATACCTTGAATAGTACGGCTCCATCTGCATCTTCTGCTACTGCAGCAGCACAAATGCAAGCTCAACATTGGCCAGGGGGAGTTGATCCGCCGTAGTGGTAAACGAATCATCACAGCGAAAACAATATTTCTGAAACGCACAACACACAAATTCAACAAACAAGCACAAACGTGCTACTATAGGTGCACGCCTAATAGAAACGAAAACGCTATGCTAAAGATAAATGATACAATAATAATACAATTAAAGGGGCTATGTTACGGGACACTTGTGAGAACACTTTTAAAGCTTACTAGTCAACAACTTTGACTTCTATTTTTGATGCAAGTGTGCATGTAACTGTTTGCTGGCCACCTTAGATGAAACGTGTCCGGGGGATACGGAGTATTCTTTCATTTTAATGCGAATGATAGAGAGGTTGTGCAAATCAAATCGAATGCAACCCATCGTGGGTATTGCGGCACAACCATAATAGCATTTAGTGGTTAGATTAATTTTATTTCACTCATTCACCCAAAGCCGAATTATCTGCTCCTTGGGTTGTGTTAGTGTTAGTGATTATAAAGTGGCAACTGCATAGAAGAAATGTTCAATCGTCTACAACACTGCAATTTGCACTTGGCATATTCTCTTGGGATAAAAATGACGGAAGTGCTTTTCCTTAAATTACGTACTCAGCTATTCCTGTGCTTTTGGATTTGCCACTGGTAAAGCATTGAGTCAGTTTCATAAGTATGACAGTGGCTAAAGGCCAAAAAAATCTCCCAGTACGTTCTTGACGTTCCGTATTCTGACTGTTTCCATAGAACCTGTGGTCTCCAATATCTCATGCGGGCTCTTGTTAAGTGCCGCTCCTAGTTTTTGTTGATGAACATCTTGTTTGTGTTGATTTTGTCTTGGCGAAGAACCCTGCTGTTGCCTATCGCCATGCCGGACGTTCCTTATTGGCTGTCCAGTGCCAGATTCTCTTTGGTTGTCATACTATAATATTGTTGAGTACATCGCCTGAGTGAGTGTAAGAAGTTTACGATGCGATGATGCCATAATTTTACAATGGTTGCTCGATTGAAATTTCAATACGATGAAAGGCAGCAAATTATTGCTGCTGTTTCTGCTCTCTTGCAGATGAACATTTTTTAGCTCCTTTGGCGAAACATTACATTTTCTTACCTTCCGTTGAAGCATTCGGTGTATGTCTTGGTCTTTCCGTACAACTTGATCTCTTAGTCTTGAGTTCTTCGCTTGTTCTTGCGTGACCTGATTCTCCCAATGATCTCTATCAGTTTCAAGCGCGTGGAATTTGGTTGTCCATTCCCGTTCCCGCTGTTCCAACGTAGTTTCCAGCTGCCTTCTTCCTCTTGATTCAAGTTCCAATCTCTTTTCCAAGTCTCCGTGGATACGTTCGAGCTCCACCAATCGAAGGTTTTGACTTTCAACGATGCGCTTGTAGGCTTTCACTTCTTGATGCACGCTTTGAACCTCTTCCGAATGTAATCGCTGGAAGAGCGGCGTAGGCTGAGACGTTGCGTTATTGGGTGGATGATGATGGTACAGGTGATTTGAAGACAAAGCCCCCCCCCCTTGCGCCCCTACGTGATGGTCCATTGGAACATTCGCCATTGTCTGTTGTGGACCTTGCCGACTTTGATGAGGTTGGATTTGCTGTTCTGAATATTGGATTTTGTTATTGGTGAAAGTTATACTGCTTTTCGTGTCATGGGTTATAGCACCGTTAATGTTCTTGTTCCTTTGATCACCGTTACAGTACCGTACTACGCGTTTCGTAACAATTGTAACCGTTGAGCAGCATCGAAATTACATGTACCGCGCACTCTCAGTTACTGCGCGTTACAAAAAACTAACACTAACAAAGACTAGTTATTTTTTGCTTAAGTACACACACAAAAAGCTGGTTACACAGCGCGCGGACTGAATTTTGTAACCGTATTTGTAACCAAACCCTTCCCTATAGAGAGGCCCTTCTTTTCTCCACGATATTACTAGTAGTGTGGTTACAAAAAAAAGTGGGTCTGGTTACCAAAAAAAGCACACAGCGCGCATTTTGCACCTCAACAGGTACAACACTAAAAACAAGCTGTCTTGGTTGCTCACRATTTTCAGTACTGAATACTACTACTAATACTGCACTGACCAAAATCGTGACCAGTTTTCGATGAAAACTGATCTTTTTTGCTATTCTAGTACAAACTCACGTAGGAAATACCGTAGAAATATTGATTTGCAGGGGGAAACAAGCAAAAAACAAGCAAAACACCAGCATCCGTATCGTATCAGCGGTTTGCTCCTCCGTATCTGCAAGCAACTCGTATCCGCGGTTTGCTCCTCCGTATCAGCAACTCGTATCAGCGGTTTGCTGACGCCGTATCAGCATTCTCCGTATCAGTGAGCGTCCTCCATGAAGCAGTGCAGTAACCTCGAGCGCACGGATACATGTAATTCCGGTGCTACTCAATCGATTACGTAAATAACTGTGGCATTGCATCGGTCCCAGCGCTACAAGTATCTTCAACACCAAGCTCTCGAGCTAAAGCTCTCGAGCTTGGTGTTGAAGATACTTGCAGTAACCTCAGTTCGGTCTCGAGCAAGCTCTCGGCCTCAGTGATGTTACTGGTGTACCGAAATTGTAACCAGAAATTTGTACCTGTGGAGCGCCGTGTTATTGTGTGATTATCGTGAGTTTTTGTACTGTGGGTTCGAGAGCTTTAGCTCGAAAACCCACAGTACAAAAACTCACGATAATCACACAATAACACGGCGCTCCACAGGTACAAATTTCTGGTTACAATTTCGGTACACGCGTGGACCGTGCGACGCCACAGTTATATCACAAAACTGGCCTCGAAAGAGAGCAAAAAGTACAGTACTTCATTATTTCAAGTTCTTAACTTTGATTTGAAGTTATGAACTTTTGCTCCTACATCATGTACCAGGTTCTACTGAGCTAGTTTTTTAAAATGACTGCTGAATGGCTGAATGGATTYCCGGGGCCCCTCAAAACAAAAAAAATGGTTCATGCAGTTCAGGGCAATTAAAAATGGTTTCAGCTGATTCAATCATGAATCAATCATGAATGCCATCCAAAAACTAGCTGAGTAGAACCTCGTAGACTTTTTACCAGGACATTTGAACAAGTTCATAACTTCAAATCGAAGTTAAGAACTTGAAATTATTACTTTATGCCTCCTGTACAAGCCGCAGAAGCAACAACTGCACCACAACAGAACCATACTACATGTTTTGTAACAATCGAAACCGGTCTCGAAAAAGAGCAAAAAGTAATAATTTCAAGTTCTAAACTTGGATTTGAAGTTAGAAAGTCTACGAGGTTCACTGAGCTAGTTTTTGGATGGTGCTCATGATTGAAAGGTGCACAAGATTACGTGTACTCTTAGTAGGTGTTAAGTGTGTATGAAAATTGAATTATAAGATTACAATTATTCAAAGATTACCAAGCGCGTTCACAAGAATTCCGAAGTTCTGATTAGAGCCTCATGTAGACCTGGTAGGGAATCTACACGGAGGTTCTCTATTCCGGACTCGTGACATCTCTATTCTTCGTGAGGTATTCTCGAATAGTATCTTAGACCTCTTACGATCATCAACATGATGGATTGTATGATCTATACATATAAACAGTACCTTACGATAGGTACGTAGGAATGGTATGCTCCTTCATTTCTTTCTTGTAAGCTTCGTATCATACGTATCATACTTCCTTTCCAATACGTACGTATCCTATCCAGTACGTACGTATCCAATCCAGTATGTACGTATCCTATCCAGTACGTACGTATCCATTGCATTGTCCCGGACAGTAATATTGCTCATATATATTGCAATATTACTCACTACTAAACTGTAGCAATCATATCTTCGATATTTTCAACTGGGGGTTCTTCCTCTGTAATAGGGTCTTCAGGAGCTCCCTTACACGGCACAAGCTTCCGAATGTTTACTGTCTCACGTACGTTGTCACTTCTTTGCAACACCAMAGTTCCATTAGTGTTGATCTCCACAATGGGATAAGGACCATGTAGTCTTTGGGACAGCTTATCTGGTTCATAGTGTTTCATATAGGCCTGCTGTCCAACYTGATACTTGAAGGGTATTCGCCTAGCATTTTCTCTTCTAAGGTTCTCATTGATTTGGTGTTGTCTTTTATCTCTGATAAGTTTCAAATCAGCAATGAGTGGGATATCCATTACCATATCCCTGTTGTAGACTAAAGCGCCTGGTGAGGTCTTCACTGCAGCATTCACAGCACAACTAGTAGCATGCATAGCTGAGGCAAGTGCGTTGTCAATCAGTTGATCTTCATCACAATCAGCTTCCTCAAGGGGCTTGCTATGAAGGGTCGCTCATAGAACATTGGCAATAGTCTGATGCGCTCTTTCACAAACTGCATTTGCCTGTGGATTCTTGACAGGATCAATGCAGGTAAGTGCATTGATCACTAATTCTGTTTCATCTGGWAGAAGGATTTTCCACGGGCCAATCAAATCGACACAGACTTCATGCCAAGGGGCAAGCTGAGCCTCGCAAGCTGGTAATAGTCCATGTCCCTGTCCTAGCTGTTTGAATCTGTGACACTCATCTGGACACTGGTATTGTTTGCACCTTAAACTGAGTCTTGGGGTATAAAACCGAGCACTGATTGTTTCATAAAGCCAGGTGCTGCCACAATGCCCTAACAGTAGATGATACCATCTGAGTATCCTGTCTACAAGGCCATCAGGCAGGTAAATCTTCCAATTGTTATTACTGGTGGACACTGTGATTAGATCGAAGGTTCCTATCCTCTTCTTGGCATAGCGCTGATCCGTTTCAAGTAGATGTTGACACTGTGGATCTGTGAGCTGATAAGTATAGAGGCTTGCATTTGTTATTGGGTTCTCCATTTCTGATACTGGGGGTAAATTGAGTAAACACTCATATAGTTCTGGTTCCAAGTAGAATACATCTTCTGGATCCACTTGGGCTGCCAACTCCTTGAAATTCACCATAGTTCCTTTCTTTTTCTCATAAATTTTCTTTTCTTTATCCCTGACTGTGCACGGATCCATTCTGGGCACACGAGAGAAACAATCCGCAAGAACATTCTTCTTGCCTGGGATGTATTTCCATGTAATATCAAAGCCCTCCAGGCTTAGTTTCCATCTGAGAACCCGGGATTGAGACAGGGTTCGGAAGATGAGATTCTTATGATCAGTGTAGATGAGGATTTTGCCACCGTAGAGCATATTCCGATATTCTTTGAGGCACAGGAGGATAGCTAAGAGCTCCTTTTCCATTGTGGTGTAGTTCATTTGGATTTTGTTGAGCTTCTTAGACCAGTATGCAATCGGTTTGTCATTCTGGAGTATTGCTGCGCCCAATTGATAATCAGATGCATCAGTGTAAATATGGAAGGGCTCTTTCAAATCAGCAAAGGTGTTAATAGCATCATTTGCGAGAAGAGCTTTCATCTCTTGAAAGGCTTGATTACATGCAGGGGTCCACACATAGGGTCCTGAGCCAGTGAGTGCAGTTAGAGGGGCCAATACATGTGATCGACGTGGCCACATGGATTTGTAGTAGTTCACTGCACCAAGGAAAGACCTGACCTGTGATTGATTCTGTGGAATTCCCATCTTCAGGATCCCCTCTACTTTCTTTTGCCACGGCTTGACGCCTGTGGGAGTGAGCCAATAGCCAAGAAAATCAGACTCCCTCACTGCCCACTCACACTTGAGCGGGTTGCACTTCATTCCATTGGAGGCTAGCTGTTGCAGGACTGGGTCAACCAAGGAGAGATGTTTGCTGAATGGTCCGTGGGACCAAATCCCCATGTCATCAATGTAGACTTCAACATCAAGATTAACCAAGATCTTGGTGATGAACGCTTGGGCATAGTTGGGAGATGACTTAAGTCCCATTGGTAATCGTAGGCATCTGTAATTTCCATGTTTTGTGGTGAGAGTGCAAATTTTCTGGCTCTCCTCATCCAATTCAAMGCAATAAAACATCATGGAGAGATCAATCTTGGTGAAATGATCATAACAAGTTCTTTGGTTCATGATGTCTTGGATTTTTTGGGAGATTGAACTGAGGTCTCTTGATCCTTTTGTTTAACTCTCTCAGATTGACAAGCCATTGAACTCGGCCATCCTTCTTTGGAATGATAAAGGCTGGGAAGCCCCATTCTAAATTGCCAGTAGGAGCAATCACTCCTTCATCAACTAGATGCTGGCATTCCCGTTTGAAGACATCCTGGTGTCTGTAGGGAACTGGGTATGGTCTTATATAAACTGGTTCTGCATCATCCTCAAGATCTATGTGGATCTTTTCATGTGGATATCTGCCTAATTTGCCATCAAACAGCTCTGTGTATTTGGCTAACATCTCTGTGAATGCTAGTCTTTCTGATTCATTCATTTGCTCCTGCTGGTCTGCAACCTGCTCTGGAGTCACCTTCTGGTACTTCGCGTCCAGGATTTTTGTTGCCTCAGTGGGTCTTTCAGCATCTGCTGCTAAATAACTGTCCAAACCGATTGCACTTCTGCAATTTGTTGGTTGGCAGCTGGGGATTAGATGAAACTCAAAGAAACCTCCATCTAAGAGTTCATCATC